TCTCTTGACCTCGTGATCCACCGGCCTCGGCCTCCCAAAGTGCTGGGATTACAGGCTTGAGCCGCCGCGCCCGGCACCTATGTTTTCTTCTAAGAGAAACAATCTTAGCTCTTATATTTAGGGCTTTGATCTATTTTGATGTAATTTTTCTACATGGAGTGAGCTAGGACTCTGCCTTTATTCTTTTGTATGTTGATGTCCACTGGTCCCAGCATCATTTGTTGAAAAGCCTATTCTTTAACCCATTGAATTATCTTGGCATTCTTGTCAATATCAGTTGACCATGAATGTACGAGTTTATTTCTGAACTCTGAATTCTAGTTAATTGGTCTATGTGCCTGTCCTTATGCTAGTCTTGATTACTATAGTAATCAAGGTCTTTCAACTTTGTTTTTTTTCCCCCAAGATTGTTTTGGCTATTCTAGGTGTTGGGTTTCCACATGAATCTTAGGATAAGCTTGTCTTGTTTGTTTGTTTGTTTGTTTGTTTGAGACAGAGTGTCACTGTATCACCCAGGCTGGAGTTCAGTGGTGCATTCTCGACTCACTGCAACCTCCGCCTCTTGGGGTCAAGTGATTCTCCTGCCTCAGCCTCCTTAATAGCTGGAACTACAGGCATGCACCACCATGCCCAACTGATTTTTATATTTTTAGTAGAGACAGGGTTTTGCCATGTTGGCCAGGCTGGTCTCGAACTCCTGGCCTCAAGTGATCCTCCCACCTTGGCCCTACCCTATTTTTTTTTTTTGGAGACGGAGTTTCGCTCTTGTTACCCAGGCTGGAGTGCAATGGCGCGATCTCGGCTCACCGCAACCTCCGCCTCCTGGGTTCAGGCAATTCTCCTGCCTCAGCCTCCTGAGTAGCTGGGATTACAGGCACGCACCACCATGCCCAGCTAATGTTTTGTATTTTTAGTAGAGACGGGGTTTCACCATGTTGACCAGGATGGTCTCGATCTCTTGACCTTGTGATCCACCTGCCTTGGCCTCCCAAAGTGCTGGGATTACAGGCGTGAGCCACCGCGCCCCGCGGCCCTACCCTATTTTTAAAAAATAGTTTTCTCAGCTTTGTACTCATGTCTGATGCATCACTCATATTTGTGATGCTTTAGTTGGTTTCGAGCTTCCTAAGTTCCTGAGGTCTAACTCTCACCATCCCTGACTGATAGAACCCCCTGCTGTGTAATACCCAATGTGTCCTCTATTTTAGTACTAAAGGGACTGGATGTAACGTTTGTTTCAGTGTTTCTCTTTTACTGTTTCTTGAGAACATGGATCACAGATTGTATTCCACTACCTTATTACGCAGTGTCTTAACATATGAGAGACGCTAGGGAAATACTTGTGGAATGAGTAAATGAATGTTTTGTTCTTTGCTTTTCTGGAAACTAATTTGTTGGCTTTTATGTTTTTTTATTTTTCCCTGGGCTGCAAGGAGGAAGCATCTCCCTATTCCTTACTCGATATCTGCTTGAATTTCTTGACTACTCACCTTGAGAAGTTCTGTTCAGCCAGACAAGATGGAACATTGTGTCTGCAGGAACCTGGAGTATTCCCACAGGAGGTGGCTGATCGACTGCTTCGGACCATGGCTTTTCATGGTAAAAAAAAAAAAATAAGCAGAGGAAACAAAAATTATGTGCTGTTAATTGGCATTGGATTTTCGACTGCTACAGTGGCCATTTAATTATTTTCTTAGAAATAACTGAGAAGGCCAAATGAGCCTGATTCCAGGAATAGGAATTCATTTATTTTTAACCTATCTTGCCTCTTAGTGTGTAATTTAGAATAAACATTTTTCATTTTTTTTTTTTTCTTGACAGGGTCTCACTCTGTTACCTATGCTGAGTGCAGTGGTGGAAACACAGCTCACTGCAGCCTCAACCTCCTGGGCTCAAGTGAGCCTCTCACCTCAGGCGTGTGCCACCACCGCTGGCTAATTTCAACATTTTTCATTTCTAATGGGACAAACCTTTCTTTCTTTCTTTTTTTGTTTTTTGTTTTTTCTTTACTCTGAGAAGTCTTTTTTGTTTGTTTGTTTTTTAAGAAACAAGGTCTTGTTCTGTTGCCCCGGCTGGAGTGCAGTGGCACGAAACTCCTGGGCTCCTGTTATCCTCCTGATTCAGCCTCCTGAGTAGCTGGGACTACAGCTTGGCTAATATTTTTATTTTTATTTTTATTTTTATTTTTGTAGAGGTAAGGTCTTGCTCTGTTGCCCAGGCTGGCCTTAAACTCCTGGCCTCATGCAATCTTCCAGCCTTGGCCTCCCAAAGCACTGGGATATAGGCATGAGCCACCACGTTCAGCTGAGAAGTCATTCTTATGTCAGGAATAACTCCTATGACTTATATCCATTTAGAGATTTGCCAGTATGAAATACCTTACACCTTCATTTGACACTGGGAGGATCATTATTGTTCTGGAAAAACTAATTTCTGCTTTTGACCTTTGTAATGGGAAATCACAGCCAATTTAGTACTTTGGTTTTCAAAAACCAATTCTGAGGCTGGGCACGGTGGCTCATGCCTGTAATCCCAGCACTTTGGGAGGCCGAGGCAGGTGGATCACAAGGTCAGAAGTTCAAGACCAGCCTGGCCAAGATGGTGAAACCCCATCTCTACTAAAAATACAAAAATTAGCTGGGCATGGTGGCACACGCCTGTAGTCCCAGCTACTCGGGAGGCTGAGGCAGGAGAATTGCTTGAACCCAGGAGACGGAGGTTGCGGTGAGCCGAGATCGCGCCATTGCACTCCAGCCTGGGTAACAAGAGCGAAACTCCGTCTCAAAAAAAAAAAAAAAAAATTAACAAATGAGCAAAGGATAACAAGCTTGTTAGGACTAAGAAAAACAAAACAAACAAACAAACAAAAAAAATTAGCCAGGCACAGTAGCAGGCGCCTGTAATCCCAGCTACTTTGGAGGCTGAGGCAGGATAATTGCCAGGCAGCAGAGGTTGCGGTGAGCCAAGATCGCGCCACTGCACTCCAGCCTGGGCAATAGAGTGAGACTCCGTCTCAAAAAAAAAAAAAAAAAAAAAAGACAAAAACCAGTTCTGAAAATCAGCTGGGAAGGTCTTATCTGTGTAGTTTTGCTTATGCATGGAGTATATTTGTTACCTCAAGTTTTAATTTGAAAGAGATATACCTTTATATCTTTACAGTTTGTAAACTCGTAAGTATGGAATATGATTTGTTCACAGCTATAGAATAAAAATTTGGCAATAATAATAGCTATCATTTATTGAATGCCTATGTACCAGGCATTTTACATAGATTTTTGTGGGATTTTCTCAACTCTACAAGGCAGCTATTATCATTACCATTTACATTCAGATAAACTGAGGTTCAGAGAAGTAACTTGCTGAGGGTCATACTGTAAGTAAATAGTGGAGTACTAATTCATGTGCAGATTTGTCCAATATTAAATATATGCTCATCCCATGTGCCACACAGCCTTCCTACACCTATATTAGAGATATCCCTGCTCCTGGATGCCAGATATGGTTTATACTTTGCTGTGACTTTATATATATGTATAAAACTATCAAGTATAAATGCAAATATTGTGTTCCAAGGAAGAGTAGGATGAAATGAGGCTGTAACTGAGGCATTTTGGAATAATTTAGGAAAGAAGAAGACCTCTACATTCCTTGGTTTTCACAAAGTTCCTCATGCCCGCAATCTCTTTGAATTTTTCTAACCTGTCACAGGAACGAGGGTAAATTTCAGTAAGTGTTATATATGTTAAAGTTAAAAGTCCCTTGGAAAGCTGCACAACGGTTTAAGAGATTATGCCAGTGCTAGCATTTCTTTCTAATCTCAATTTAACAATTATCCTCAGTATATTATTATATATGTATTTATTTTGAGATGGAGTCTTGCTCATTTTCCCAGGCTGGAGTGCAGTGGCACACTTTCAGATCACTGCAACCTCTGCCTCCTGGGACTACAGGTGCCCACCACCATGCCTGGCTAATTTTTGTATTTTTAATAGAGATGGGTTTTCACCATGTTGACCAGGCTGGTCTCGAACTCTTGACCTCAGGTGATCTTCCCAGCTCAGCCTCCCAAAGTGCTGGGATTACAGGCATGAGCCACCACACCCAGCCAGTGTTCAGTATATTAGATTAAAAAAAGAAAACAAGTCTTGTAAATCAAAAGAAGAACTGCTAAGGCTTTAATTTTGCCAGATTCAGTTACCCTTTTGAAATGTAACTACTGATAGTTAATAATAGTAACTAACATTTATTGAATGCTTATTATTATATGTCATACACTGTAGCAAATGCTTTATATGGATAAGATAATAGGACTGGGTTTTAAAAAGCAAGTCTAGCTGGGCGCGGTGGCTCACGTCTGTAATCCCAGCACTTTGGGAGGCCGAGGCGGGTGGATCACGAGGTCAAGAGATCGAGACCATCCTGGTCAACATGGTGAAACCCCGTCTCTACTAAAACTACAAAACATTAGCTGGGCATGGTGGCGCGTGCCTGTAATCCCAGCTACTCAGGAGACTGAGGCAGGAGAATTGCCTGAAGCCAGGAGGCGGAGGTTGCGGTGAGCCGAGATCGCGCCATTGCACTCCAGCCTGGGTAACAAGAGCGAAACTCCGTCCCAAAAAAAAAAAAAAAAAAAAAAAAAAAAGCAAGTCTAACTAAATATTTGTCCTTAGAGTAATGTCTTGGAGAGGCTACATGCTTGAAATGTATTTTCTTTTTTTTTTTTTTTTTGAGACGGAGTTTCGCTCTTGTTACCCAGGCTGGAGTGCAATGGCGCGATCTCGGCTCACCGCAACCTCCGCCTCCTGGGTTCAGGCAATTCTCCTGCCTCAGCCTCCTGAGTAGCTGGGATTACAGGCATGCACCACCATGCCCAGCTAATTTTTTTGTATTTTTATTAGAGACGGGGTTTCACCATGTTGACCAGGATGGTCTCGATCTCTTGACCTCGTGATCCACCCGCCTCGGCCTCCCAAAGTGCTGGGATTACAGGCTTGAGCCACCGCGCCCGGCTTGAAATGTATTTTCTACCTCTTTTCAGACTGCCTTCAGATGAGGAAACTGAGGATCAGAAAAATAACTTGTTGCCCCTAATTGTGTTACCCCAGTGTGATTACCTGTCTTATTCATCAAGCAGGGTTCTGAATTATTTAATCTCTTTATAAAATTATATCCATTGTCAAACAAGATTGATACTACTGAGAAAATGCAAAAGAACATGTTGCCAGTTCTTGTCTGAACTTGTAAAAGTTGCTTTATACATTTTTCTGTGTGTTTGAAAATATTTATACTGGGAAAAAAGTTATTTGGTTGACACTTCTATTTTTTATATTACTATTACTATTTTTTTCTTGAGACAGAGTCTCACTCTGTCACCCAGGCTGGAGTGCAGTGGTGCCATCTCCGCTTACTGCAACCTCCGCCTTCTGGGTTCAAGCAATTCTCCTGTCTCAGCCTCCTGAGTAGCTGAGATTACAGGCATGTGTCACCACGCCTGGCTCATTTTTTGTATTTTTAGTAGAGATGGGGTTTCTCCATGTTGGTCAGGCTGATCTCGAACTCCCAACCTCAGGCGATCCACCTGCCTGAGCCTCCCAAAGTGTTGGGATTACAGGTGTGAGCCATGCACCCAGCAATATTATACTTTTTAAAATAACATATTGATTCTAGAAAATACTTAACATATACATTTAAAATGTTTTACTTATTTACTCAATTCAAAAAATTAATGATATTGGTAGCAGTCTTCTTTGTGTGTGTTAAAAAATTTTCTTTTTCTTCATTTATTTTTATTTTTTGTAGAGACAGGGTCTTGCCATGTTGCCCAGGCTGGTCTCAAACTCCTGCCCTCAAGGTAGCTTCTTGCCTTGGGCTTCCAAAGTGCTGAGATTACAGGTGTGAACCAACATGCCCCGCCTTTTTTTTTTTTTTTTTTTGAGATGGGATCTCACTCTGTCGCTCAGGCTGGAGTGTCGTGGTATCTTCTTAGCTCACTGCAATCTCTGCCTCCTAGGTATTCTCCTGGCTCAGACTCCCGAATATCTGGGACTACAGGCACCCAACACCACACCCAGCTAATTTTTGTATATTTTTTTTTTTTTTTTTTTTTTTTTTTTT